ATCCAATCTATCTGACTCTAATGTGGGTTTTAGAGACTCTAGGTGGCACCCCAATAACTACTATACGCCGCAAAATTTTAACCAACCATATCCTCTTGAGAGGAACTATCAACATAGCCCTGCTAGATCAGCTCAGCATGGGGGGTATTACCGAAAGGGACCTGAAACACAATCTAATGATAGAGGGGTACTACCCCTCTCCAAGAAATCAGAAAAAAGAATTATAAAAAACCATACAAAAAATCTTATAACCCTCCGAAAAATCCTGTTCCTAACTATTACCCTCCAGTAACTCCTAGGGCCCATAATACTAATGATTATCATTATTATAATAATCAGGAACAACGTTTTTTAGGATCAGGCAGGATAAGAAAAAGGAGCGCAGACCAAGAGGAAAGAGAGGAGGAAGAAGAATACATAGATACCCAAAAAAGGAGGAAGGTATAATAGGTAAAGGTATCTTTAATCTGAGTACTACAACCCTTTCAGATAATGAACTGAAGCTCTTTGATAAAGGATTAAAGTACGCACCTGCTAGATCCCTTAACAAATTTGAGACGTTCATAGACGTGCACAAGTTTGCTAGAAAATTGTCCATAAAAAGACATTTCCAAACTAATCCCATTGCTAAAGATGTAACTATGAATAAAAATAAGAATTCCTCTAACCTCAGTAATGCATCTACATTCAACCCTCCACCACAAATTAATTCTGCAGTGGGTCTTTTTAGAGATCAAACCTTAAGAGACTTACAGAAATTACAGATTAAAAAAGTATATGCAGATGCAAATCTCAAGCGTGCAACTAAAACACTGTTAGAAAAGAACGACTTGGTCATCCGCCCTGCGGATAAAGGTGGAGGAATAGTAGTCTTGAATAAACATGATTACATGGAGGAAGTATACAACATTTTGAAAGATTCCTCCACATACCTTCCATTCAATCATAATCCTACAACGACCTTTAAGAACGCCCTGAAAGCTATCATTAAGACGGGCTTTGATAGAGATATCATCAACAAAAAAGAAAGGGACTTTCTTTGTCCAAGGCAGCTAAAATACCAATCCTCTATATCTTACCTAAGATTCACAAGGACCCTGTGAAACCCCCGGGAAGGCCAATAGTCAGCGGGATCAATTCCCTTTGCTCTAAGATCGGGCAATACATAGACCATTATCTTCAGCCACTAGTAGTCCACACCCCCTCATATCTCAAGGACACTAAACAGGTCCTAAATGCCATTAAAGACGTAGTTATCACTCCATCTACAATACTGGTTACAGCAGATGTTGAATCGCTGTACAGTAACATTAACCATGCAGATGGAATGAGAGCCGCAGAATGTTACCTAAGACAGCAGAGCCCTCTTGGTTCCACACATATTGATTTCATTATAGAATTACTTGAATTTGCGATGGTTAAGAATTACATGTGGTTTGATGGCAGATATTATTTACAAATAAAGGGTGTGGCTATGGGGGCGAAATTCGCCCCCAGTCTTGCCAACTTATTTATGTCCTACTGGGAGGAAGAGATTATATACTCCAGGGACTGGCCAGAATTGGTCTTCTATAGGAGATACATTGATGATATTCTCTTGTTGTGGAATGGGAAAACACAATCGCTAGAAAACTTTTTCACTACCTTGAATTATAATAATCACAATATCAGACTCACCTATAACTTCAGTCATGAAGAAGTTAGTTTTTTAGACCTTACCTTGGTGAGGGTAGACAATAAAATTATCACCAAAACGTTTTTCAAGTCGTCGGATCGGAATAGTTATATTCCTTTGGATAGTTGCCATCATCCCAGCTGGCTTGCTAATGTCCCCAAAGGACAATTGCTAAGACTGAGAAGAAATTGTACAAACACCTCAGATTTTCAGATACAAGCTAATATTTTGAAAGAACGTTTTTTGGAAAAGGGCTATAATGGGGTGTCGCTAGATAATACTATCACAGAAATCACCCAGATTAGTCAGGAGGAACTTTTAGGTACTAGTTCTAAGAAAATAAATGACATTTTTTGTCCGTTTATCACTACCTTCTCTGTTCAACATAGAGCAGTCAAACATATCATCCAGAAAAATTGGAATATATTAAAATCAGATCCAGTTTTGAGTAACATACTTCCTGATACACCTGAAGTAATTTTTCGGAGACCAGCCATTCTTAGAGATAAAATATCTCCTAACATTATTAACCCTCCTGTTAAATCACTCACACTGTTTAATATGAAAGGATTTTACCCCTGTAATAGGTGCATCGCCTGTAAATGCAATGGAAGTAGAAAGAAGAAAATCTATTCCTATAGTTCCAGTCAAACACACAAGACATATGAAATAGATCAATTTATAAGTTGTGACAGCAAATTTGTAGTTTATCTGCTTGAATGCCCGTGCTCCAAACAATATATTGGCCGGACCACCAGGAGGCTTAGAGACCGCCTTCGGGAACACATTGCTAACATCAGAAAAGGATATAAAGACCATTCATTATCCCTACATTACAGACGTTTCCATCATAGGGATCCCACATCACTCAAGTTTGTGGGGATCAACTTAGTCACCCCACATTGGAGGGGTACACATAAAGTGAGAGCAGTTTCCCCAGCTGGAGACTAAACACATTTTCGAATTGAGCACTTCCCACCCAGCGGGGCTTAATATAGACTTAGATCTTAACTGCTTCATTGCTAATGGGTGACGCAAATTTAAATAAATAATTCTTTTTCATATATATATAGTCCTTTTTATAGACGCATGGACTGACCATCTCACATGCGTTTCTATCTAAGCATTTTCTATTGATTTTTTAATGATTTTCACGTGTCATTAGTTTTGAGGTTAGTGCAGATTTAGTTCTGTAGTCTTCTTGTTATTACGATTCATTTTACTTTAGTTTTATTCTCTGAGAATTTTTTTCTGGCATATAACTTTTATGTATATGATGTCTTTTTGAATGTTGGTAAATTTTAACTTGTAAAGAAATAATGACGCATGTATATACACATACTCAAATTATACTACATAATTGGAATAAGTTCAACACATTGGCGCTGTCGCGCTTATTTTATATACTTTATATAGATTTGAATCAGATTGTCTTTCAAATAGGTGTATTTCACACCGTTGTTGAACTTGCCTTCATTGACATTCATTTGTCAAATATAGGGCATTCTTGCCCTTCTATCCTGTGTCTTTGAGCTCCATTAAAATGGAAGACGGAGCCACGTACACATGCGCCTTAGTTATTGCACACTGGCGCATACGAAACCGCGCATGCGTCATTATGCTTATTTATATGCGCCTATTCGCGTCATCGCGCCAATGGTGCGCACGTAACGCGTAAGGAGGAGCCTGGACATCGAGACGCTACGCCGCCGGAGCCACGTGGAGGCCCGGCGGCCACTATTCAGAGTGTCAGGGTTAGTTTGTCTTGCTGACACATCTTTATGATACCTGCCTACTTTGAATTGGATACTATAATTTTTAATAAAGCTGCTTTTTATAACCTACTACACTATGGGTGTCCTTCCCTAAAACTCCCCTGAGGAGCTTTTGCTTGCAGAATCCTGATCTTGGAATCCTACACCTAATTGGGAAGAGGAGGATCTGTTGCTGCATCCACAGAGGAGGGATCCACCATTCCTGTAACTGGACCAGCTTTATTCCCTTCTGGATTGAGGATCCATGAGCTCTAGATGCACACTGCGTTTATGTGTCTTGCTTCTGGTGAGTGCGTTTTTCAGCCGTTTCCACACGGATCACCAATTTTGAATCCTCATTTGTCACTGGACACGTTCTTATGACCAAGACTTTTATCTGTCTTATTATCACTACCTTTAGCGCTGCACTATTTTTATGTTATTCTATTTTAAGTACATATTGGTTGCTTAGAGTACTTAGCCGCTTTCAGGACTAGCGCTCACTGTTGTTCTCCCTATTCTGCTGGCGCTATATAAATCCTGTGTAATAATAAAGCGCTGCTCAAACCGTTGGCACTATATAAATCCTGTATAATAATAAAGTGCTGCGCAAACTGTTGGCGCTACATAAATCCTGTATAGTAATAAAGCGCTGCGCAAACCATTGGCGCTATATAAATCCTGTGTAATAATAATATAATAATTTGAACAGACGGACTGCATGGAATACCTGTGCATCACATGCTGGTGAAAAAAGCCCTTCATATGAATCGGTACACCCTGGTGATTATGGCCTAAAGCTGACCATACACTATACAATCTCCTTTAGATCTGCCATCAGTGTATGGTCACCTTTGGAATGATGGAAAATGTGAAAGCTGTGTCTATCTATCTACCCAAGCACAAAACCCATCTCCATAGCCTCCTATAGTACAGTATATCCCAATCTGAGACTGTTGCAGGTCAGCATGAGGATACTATTATTATACAAAGCACCCTCATAAAATGATCAGATCCTATTACTATTCATAAATCAGGAGTCAGACAGCATACAGTCCCCAGGTCTTACCAAGGACAGAAGTTTCTCCTGGGCCCTACGGCTGAAGATGATCATATCTGCACACAGTCCTCCAACCTCTCCTCTCTGCCTGTGTTGATGTTTGGAGCTGTATAGCAACGCACAGCCCGTGCCCGTGCTGAGGTCAAAGATTCCCGAAGAAGCAGAGCGGCCATCTTTATTACTGGCAGGCCAGTTCACCCTAGTAAAATAAACATCTTTAATGTATATAGATCTATAATACAATTGTTATACTATAAAACAGTGCTCATCGATCACGCCCTTACCTTCCGGCGAATGGTATAGCGGCACCGCCTGGGTGCATTTCCACCTCCTCGCCTTTAGGGGTCAGCCAGCGCTAAATCTCGCTCTTCCGCTCCGCGTTTGGCGCTCTTCTCTATGGCAAACTCCCGGCGCCTCGGTCTTCCTGGTAGGGCGGAGAACAGGGGTTGGTTGTGTAACAGGCTGGGTCGTTAACGAGAGCTTGTGGTGTTGGGGACAGTCAACGTTCACCATGAGGGAGAAGAGGAGCAAGCGGCGGAAACCGGGAAGGAGAGACGAGTCGGGGACAATGGTTAGTCCATATATGTATTCTTCTGAGCGCTACCCCTCCATTATTTACACTGTCCCTGTGTATTGTGTGTAGTGCTGACTGACACTGTCACTATGACTTGGCAGAACCTGTGAATGAGAGCTACATAGTCCTCCCCCCCTTTGTCCTAGTCATTTCCTGGGCTGTATACTGGATATGTGTCCCTAATCAATCGCTGCTGTCTTGGGGACTCCACACATGTTGTATCTTCACATACAGTCTACAATGGGACTTTTACTAGACCTTGGCTGGATCGCTTTTCACATTTCAGCTCCAAGTTGGTTCACAGGAACTGCTCCATGGACCATAGCTTCTTAACAGAGTATATGGAAAGGCTCTGCAATCACTCATCCTTTTAAATGTTTCTGATCTACTTCTATTTTATTTTCTGTATACAGCTCTTCTATTTTCTACATACAGATTGTAATGCATTTCACTGTAAAACCTTTTTCCCCACGTGATCACGTAACTGAAAAACCCGAGAGCGCCAGGCTGTCTGTGAAAGGCTAACAAGGCCACTGAATCCTAAGAGCGGTAACCTCATCCCTTTGGCATCTGCAGCTCTAAGGCTATGTTCACACTAGCTTTGTCAGCAGGCGTCAGACAGGTATTTTTAGGAAGCGTTTTTAACACTTCTCAAACGCCTATGAGAATTCTGCACATGGTAGCACACAGTGCTGTTCACATGGAAGCGTTAGCGTTGCGGCAAAACTGACACCTCCTGTGAATGGGAGGAGTTGAAACCTCCCATTCAAGTCTATGGTACCGCAAACGCCTGGCAGGCATTTGCGAGGTGGTTGCGGAGCTATAATACCATTTCATTTCATTATAGGCGTTTGTGGTTCGGTTCTTAACGCTTGGCAAATGCCTCAAAACTGCTCATAAGGCGTTTGGGGGAGCATTTGAGGAACGTTTAAACCGCTTCCCAAATGCCTGTCTTATCGTCTGCCAAACGCTATAGGGGCGTGTGACATAAATGTACAGATTTGAGTAGCTGAAATGTGACCTGTAGCAATATGTAATCGTAAATTTAGTTCATTCCTTGTCATTAAAGATATATTCAGTCATAGGCACTCAGAGACAGATGGTCATCAATTAGCATCTGAAGGGACTAGCGTCCTCTGGAAGTGGCAGCGGGGCGCTAATAAGATTTTGTCACCTATATGTAATCAGACTTTGCATCTTCCTGAAGCTGAAAAGAGAAACGCAGACGTTTTCGGCTTCATGACACCAGGGGGGCTCCGAGCTGTCTACGGAGCTCTAAAAGTATGTACATACATCAAAGGAGTATGTTTCATCCCTCATAAAAGCTAAAATATTAGTTGCAGAGAGATGAAAAATACTTCCTTCTGATGGGGCACTCTGTAGGCTACATCGGCATATAAAAGCTATATTTGTGGCCTATGCAGAATGCCAGACAAATGCAGGAAATGGTTATGTGGCGCTGGAGTGCGATAGCGGAACAGTGATTGGTACTGTCGCGATCGGACTGATGTGCTGGTGTCGGAAATTCAATCCCTGACTTGGTGATTCAAGACGGTCGTGGTCCAATTGACTTTGGGCAGTTCAGCACCCAGAAAAGCCTGTGGGCGGGTACAGGAACACCCCCCCAGAGTCAATTTGGCTAAGAACTAATGTCCCACCTACACCATATCCCCATAAATTGAGGACCCGGACATTGTAATTCGTATGGAGCTGGTTCGATCGACTAACGGACTCTCTGACTTGCTCCAGTCGCAGGATAAATATTGGTAAAAAGTTTTATTCTGTTTTATTCCCTTTTATTTTTATAGTGAATAGTCAATGTGTGTCTTCTTGTATTTTTTGTAATTTTTTTTATACTTTGTACATATTTTATGCACTGCCCACTTTCTGGATATTAAATCTTAAAATTAATAAGTGACTTCTGGGTATTTAAGCACGGGCTCGTATCTCCAGAGAGATTAGATTGTATTGTATTTTATATGCTCGGTCAAGCTCATTGCCAATCTGTATGCAATTGCACTGCGTGTTGGCAGATTGTACACAGATTGTAAAGGTAACAGGTCTGCCAGATGGAGATCTGTGTGTGTGTGGTGTCCCAACAGACCGTTCTGCGGATAAACTGTTGGGTGGTGGCCAGCTAACCGTTTGTGGGCGTTTCTGGTGTGGGGGTGTGTGGACAGTGGAAGAGTGATTAAACACCGGGGTTCTGGCTTGTAGGATAGCTGGAGGAATCCTAGAATGGTGTGTGATTGCTAAGCTGCTCCCTAACCCTAGTTAATGCATCAGATTGTATGTAAGATTTGTATCTGCCAGTGTGTGGTCGGTTAATTTGAGTGGTCTCCCTCCGGTGGTGACCAAGAGGTAGTGCGGGCTGTGAAAGTATATCACGGCTGGTCTTCTATACAGTTTTTTATATATTCAAAGTTAAGTCCCCCTTATTCCCTCTTACCCCAAATCACAGCCGCACGTGCTCGCCTCGGTTAGCTAGTCGCTGTGGGCGTGACGTGTGGGTGAATCCGTGACAGGGCGTTTGGCAAGAGTTAGAAATAAAGTCAAGTGTGAACGAGCCCTTAGGTGGTGTTGGGAGGCTTGTAAAATAGTCTGTTGAACCACAGGTTTACCCCTCCCCTTCTCAAGTGACATTAATCACTTCATTACCCAGGCACTTTCACCCCCTTCCCGCCCAGGCCAGTTTTCAGCACTATTATTTATTACAGGTACTTGTATAGCACTGTAAATTTTATGCAGCACTTTACATATATATGTGTTGTACATAAGGTCCTTAACTCACATTTGTACATACACATACTAAGGCCAATTTAGACAGGCGCCAACTAACCTACCAGCATATCTCTGGAATGTGGGAGGAAAATGGAGTACCTGGAGGAAACCCAAGCAGGCACAGGGAGAACATGCAAACTCCAGGCAGGTAATGCGGTGGTTAGGAATCTAACCAACAACCCTATTGCTGCTGGCAGAAGTGCTACCCACTTAGCCACTGTGTTGCCCACAGTTGCACTTTGACAATTGTGCAGTCATGCAGCACTGTACCCAATATGAAATTATTATAATTTTTTGAGACAGATAGAGCTTTCTTTGGTGGTATTTAATATGCAGTGTGATTTTCTCTGTCAGTTATAACTGCAATTTTCAGTTGGGAATTGTTCAGTGGTTCTGGTTCATTCAGATGCGGTGGGGGAGGTGGGATGAGAGCAAACTAGTGCTAAAAATCGTGAGTTAACGAACTGAGGAGATAAAAGCTTTCCCATTGCTTGAGAAATCACACCGCACTGCTCTAAAAAATGCACAGGACCACTTTTTTTAACCACTTGCCTACCGGGCACATATACCCCCTTCTTTACCAGGCCAATTTTCAGCTTTCAGCGCTAATGCCGCACTTTGACAATTGGTGCGGGATATGTAAGATTGTATACCCATATGAAATTTTTATCATTTTCTCTCACAAATAGAGCTTTCTTTTGGTGGTATTTACTCGTCGCTGGGTGTTTTACTTTTTTGTGCTATAAACAAAAAATTGCAAAAAAATTTGAAAATAAAAGTTTTTGTTTCTATTATAAAATTTTGCAAACAGGTCATTTTCTCTCCTTCACTGATGTGCGTTGATTGAGAGGCAGCACTGATGGGCACTGTTAGGCAGCACTAATTAGGTGGCACTGATAGCGGCACTGATGATGGGCACTGATAGACAGCACTGATAGGTGGTGGCACTGGCTGGCGGCGCTGCTGGGTGGCACTTCTGGATGGCGCTGCTGGGTGGCACTTCTGGATGGCGCTGCTGGGTGGCACAGGTGGTGGCACTGCTGGGCACAAGTGGGCGGAACTGGTGGGTTGTGGCTGCTGGGCTCCGTTCATCAGAAGCACTGATCAATCAGTGCCAGTTCCCTGCTCTAACAACTGCCGGTTCTCGGCAGTACTTTCCTTACGATCTCTGACAGCATGAGGAAAGTGCAGCCGAGAACCGGCAATTGCATTTCCCTGTGATTCAGCGTGTCCATTGGACACGGCGTGATCACGTGGTAAAAGGCGGCTGACTGTGATTGGCCTTTTACCACATCATGTGATCAGCTGTGTCTGTAGGACACAACGATCACGGAGATCGCCGGATGTGGTGCGTGCCCCGAGGGCACACAGGACGAGCGTATTGTTCTGGGAGGGACGCCATTATGACGCCATCATTCGGCTATCGTCCAGCTGTCATTCGGCTATCTGCGGTCGGCAACTGGTTAAAATCTCACTGAACCACATGTATGTGAACAGCCACAGTGTAAAACAGTGTCAGAAATTGCCAACTCAAAAGCAGAAGCTCCACTTATTTGACTTACCCCCCCTTCACTGCCGTTTTTTGAAACCTTTTTGGGGGGGAGCGGGGATACCTGTTTTTTGTACAAGTACCTGCTCCCACTTCCGGCTCCTCAGTTCACCGCAAACTCTGTTGCAAGTTATCAGCCCCCTCCTCCCTTCCACTGTCTCCCTGGGAACTTTCCAAACAGGTCCACAGGAGACTGCCGGACAATTAAGGGGTGCAGCGTGACTTGTACATGCGCAGTGTGGACACCAGGCTGTGAAGCCACAAGCGGTCACAGCCTGGTGTCCACAGTTGACATGCTGGTGCACGCGTGAGGAGAGAAGGGGTGAGAAGGGACGGCGCAGGTGAGAATATCGCTGGACAGGTAAGAATGTTGGTTTTTATTAAAAGTCAGCAGCTGATACAGTTTTTGTAGCTGCTGACTTTTAATAAACACTAAAATGGCTGGAACTCCACTTTGACGAGAACCAAAGGCAGGACTTTTTTTTTTTTTTTCATTTGCTTTTTTCATTGCCATTTGCTTTTTCCCCCTACCGTCTTTCAGGGCCAGCACTCTTGAGAGACCTCGGGCTCCTCCCCATCTGAGGAAAACAACCTCCACCTACAATAAAAAAGCCTCCACTCCCCTCTGACCTCAGTTCAGGTGTTTCCCTCGGTGGGGAGACACGAG